ATGCTTATTTCAATATGTAATCAATACCATGCAAAGCGATCGAATTTCATCACTATGTAGAAGATTTCAAAATTAAAACAATTGTTTTTCAGCCCTTACATCTGGGATAAGCTTTGTAATAGTTGATTGAAAATTTAATCTTGAAAATCTGATCTTAAATTACATTCTGAAATAACACAAATTGTCATAATGTTGTATATGCTACACAATTATTTTAAGTTCACTGTCTTATCTCAAACTTACTACTGGATTAGGTTTGGATTTAATTGTGGTCAGATTTACTATCAGGCACATATGTACATATGTATATTCATCATTGTTCATCATAATCATAAGAAAGGTCAGGGTCGTAAACCTTTTAATCTTTTTATTTCACAACTTTAAAGGTAAACATTTTACATTTTCCTTGCTGAATTCTTAAAAACAACATAATGAAATTTGATTTACACATTCTAAAACAGGACCAATCGATTAGTTCTTGGGTCAAAAAGTCAATTCATTATGCACTATAAGCTTTATTGATATTTTGGGCACAGGCAAATAAATAAAAGTCAGCTTTGAACGCGGCAACAACAAAACAAAGCCTGTTAAATAACAGTAAGCGCGCTTGCTCACATTTTTTGCTTTTGTTAACTAAAAATAGGAACAAAACAAAACCCAATCGAACGGAAACCCAGTACGAAAGCAAATTGGCAAAAAATCAACAATATGCTGTAAACAAACTGCTGATTTGTACTATCTATTCAAAGGTATTAAAACTGTATGACCTTTAAATCCAAGCACTTTTATTCAACAATTGTATCCTCTATGTATTTACTACAAAAAAAAAGTTCATAAAACGTTAAAAAATCTATTTTTTAAGACCACGGTAAATATTTTCGCTTCAAACAAGCAGCTCAGCTGGATTTCTGTTTGAAGGCTTATAAATAAAAGTAAGCTATGTCGCCGACTAGTTAAATAACAGTTAACACTCTTGTTGACTATAAATAAATGTATATTGCAAATAAATGAAACTCAAATTGGCAAGGTGCTGCTTTCCTTTCACTGTCTCTCGTTGCAATATGTGAAATTGGTTGGCACTCACCTTGGGATGCAGTTGGGAGGCGTTCGGTCCACCTCCCAGGCGGCAAAAAGCTTCATGGGCACCGGCTTCTGGCCATTGGCTCCTCCGCTGGTCATGCCCCCACCTCCTCCCAATCCGCCGCCCAATCCCGCCGTGCTGGACATTCCGACGGGCATATTGATTGGGCCACCTCCGGTTCCGCTGCCGCCGGTGCCGCTGATAACGGCAAATTTATCCACCAACTTGGACGACTTGTCGACCATCTTCATGTTGTTTCTGTGCTGGTTTTCGAATTTATTTTCGTGTTCGCGAGGCGTTTTCTGGACTGCTGTTTTATGTACTATTGTTCCACATTATTCCGATGCACACTGGGGAATATATCTCGAGCAGGAACATATTTTTCTGATAGTTTTCACAATTCCAACTTTTCAAGTTTTCAATTTGTATATTTTTTTGTTTGGGTTAGCCCGCCAATACATATACACACACACGCTCACGTACGCACGTTGGGGAAGGGCGTGCCGCCGCCTTAAAAAAGAAGCGAAAAGCTGTAGTATACACAGAGAAAAACGAGGGGTGGGTAATGTTGGGGTGCGGATTTTGATATTCTGAGGGGGGCGCGCTGCAACTGCACTCGCACTGAATCAATATCTACGCGTTGCGAATCTGTTGCGGGTTAGACAGCTACTCGGCTGCTGGGGATTCGGATTCGGTTGGGGATTCGGAGCGGACTCGGAAGCTGCTGCTGCTTTGGCTGCAGCTTTAAATCGCGTCGAAAGTGCCGCGAAAGAACCGTCATGCTCCAGAGTAAAAGTGCGAATGTCGCCGTTATAAAAAATCTGGCCCCAGTTTGGGCTCTCTTTCCTCTCTCTAGCGTCCCAACAATAACAATATGTGCAAATGCTATGCGCACACACACATCCACACGATTTTCGCAAATCCCCACTCGAGTGTGTGGGTGCGCACTTATGCTTCGCTCTCTCTCTCTTCCGCGCATAAACAAAAAAGAAAACGCCACGAATTTCGGTGAGCGAGCAAAAGGCGGCACTCGCTCTTTCTCTTCGACACTCACGCGCGATCTTTTGCCGATTTTCACATTTGTTTATCTAAATAGATTAATATTTACGTTTTTAGCGGTTTTCATCTATTATTTATGAGTTTCAGCACGTTTTATTGGTCAAATTGTTGCGGAGCAGCGACGGCGCAGCTTCCGTTGGTGCAATGGGGAGCGGAGCAGTGTGGCCGGAGCGGAAATCCTGGAAAATACCAACTGGGCGGACCTGAAACAGTTAAATATACCAACAAGAAATATAAGGGAAACTAACGGTAGTTAACACTATAACATAATTTACATACATAAAATTATTTAAAATACGGCATATATAGCTGTCTGAAATGGTAAGAAACTTTTATATTTATTTACTACATTATTTTCAACACTGCTTGAAAATAGGCGGACTTTTTGTTTGTAAAGCAGTGTAGACCAAACTGAGCTTTAAAATTTAAGCCTTATTTATATCTAAAAAGAAATGGTAATATTCCATGTTGAATTCTTGTAGAAGAAAAACCCAAGTTATCAAGAATTAAAAAGTTTACTTTATTTCAAAAGATTTAAGTTACTGGGTATATTTTTTTAATTGCTCACACGGCCACACTTTTAACCACTCTCTGTAAAAAATTACTTTGTTTACAATCCGCCGCCGGCGACTTATAAACAATGGCAGATGCTTGGGACATAAAATCTTTGAAGACGAAGCGAAACACGCTCCGCGAGAAGCTGGAGAAGCGCAAGAAGGAGCGCATTGAGATTCTCTCAGACATACAAGAGGATCTGACGAACCCCAAAAAAGAACTCGGTAAGTGACTGGCCATGGCAACAAGTTGGAAAGTCTGAAAACCTATATGTTTCTGCCTTCTCAGTTGAGGCCGACCTGGAGGTGCAAAAGGAGGTGCTGCAGACACTCAGTTCCTTGTCCCTGGCCCTGCCCATCGTATCCACGCAGGTGGTGGAGAAGATTGCCGGCAGCAGTCTGGAGATGGTCAACTTTATTCTTGGCAAACTGGCCAACCAAGGTGCCATTGTGATCCGGAACGTTACCATTGGCACAGAGGCCGGCTGTGAGATAATCTCAGTGCAGCCCAAGGAGTTGAAGGAGATCTTGGAGGACACGAATGACACTTGTCAACAAAAAGAAGAGGAAGCCAAAAGAAAATGTGAGTTTCTTAAAAAAAAGTATCCTTAGGTATTTAGGTCAGTAGTTTCCTTTTATGCTTACAGTGGAAGCCGAAGATGGCGATCAACCGCAGGAGAAGAGCCTGAAACTGGACTCCAGTGCTGCGCGCAAGGAATCCACCAGCTTGGACGCCCCCGACGACATCATGATGTTGCTCTCCATGCCCTCCACCCGCGAGAAGCAGAGTAAGCAGGTGGGCGAGGAGATCCTGGAGCTTCTTACCAAGCCCACGGCCAAGGAGCGCTCCGTCGCGGAGAAGTTCAAATCCCACGGCGGAGCGCAAGTCATGGAGTTCTGCTCCCATGGCACAAAGGTGGAGTGCCTCAAAGCCCAACAGGCCACCGCTGAAATGGCAGCCAAAAAAAAACAGGAGCGAAGGGATGAGAAAGAACTGCGTACAGATGTGGAGGCGGGTGAAAGCAGCAGCGGAAAGCTTACCAAGGCAGTGGACTCTACAGCCGAGGATGGAGAAATCATCGTGGAGGCTCTAAACAACTGCGAGGCCGAGTCCCAGGAGTCTACCGATGGAAGCGACACCTGCGGCAGCGAGACAACGGACAAATGCACTAAACTGCACTTCAAGAAGATCATCCAGGCGCACACTGACGAGTCCCTGGGAGACTGCAGCTTCCTGAACACCTGCTTTCACATGGCCACCTGCAAGTACGTGCACTACGAGGTGGACACCCTGCCGCATATTAACACAAACAAACCGACGGATGTAAAGACCAAGTTGAGCCTCAAGCGCAGTATCGATTCCAGTTGCACTCTCTATCCGCCGCAGTGGATTCAATGCGATCTGCGGTTCTTGGACATGACAGTGCTGGGCAAGTTCGCGGTGGTGATGGCCGATCCTCCCTGGGATATCCATATGGAGCTGCCCTACGGAACAATGTCAGACGATGAAATGAGAGCATTGGGTGTGCCTGCTTTGCAAGACGACGGTCTAATCTTCCTGTGGGTCACAGGACGGGCCATGGAACTCGGACGCGACTGTCTCAAGCTGTGGGGCTACGAGCGCGTGGACGAGCTCATTTGGGTAAAGACCAACCAGTTGCAGCGGATCATTCGCACCGGACGCACAGGTCACTGGCTGAACCACGGCAAGGAGCACTGTCTGGTGGGCATGAAGGGCAACCCCACCAATCTTAACCGAGGGCTCGACTGCGACGTTATCGTGGCAGAGGTGCGGGCAACTTCGCACAAGCCGGACGAGATTTACGGCATCATCGAGCGGCTTAGCCCGGGTACCCGCAAAATCGAACTCTTCGGGCGACCGCACAACATTCAGCCCAACTGGATAACCCTGGGAAACCAGCTGGATGGCATACGGCTAGTAGATCCAGAGCTCATCACCCAGTTTCAGAAGCGATATCCGGATGGCAACTGCATGTCGCCAGCAGCTGCCAATGCGGCGGCTATCAATGGAATACAAAAGTAGGATTAAAATAGTATTTTCTGTATGAATTTGAGACCTCGACAAGCAAGAGTCATGTACAGACTCTTTTATAATAAGATAAATTATTATTAAAGCTTTTTACAAACAAAAATGTCGCTAGTATCTTTTGCATTAATTAATTAATTTAAAGTATCTGCATATAAATGAAATAGCATGTTAATAGGCCAATTTCACCACATTACATAAAAACGGTCTCCCAAAATAAAAACCCCAGGATATTTATTCATTTAAAGTTCGCTATATGTAAATCCACATACACAGATAGATTTATTGCTCATACTAGGGTTTTGCGCGTATTTACAAAAGTGCGATATCACCGAATCTGGCGTTTTCTAGGTGTAGTATATATGGTTTATATAGAACCCAGTACGTGTACATATCACTATCAGCTATACACGATATCGGTTGTTTGGTTACTCGATTATGATGGTAATAATAACTTATTTGACATATCAGAGAGTACATGATTTAAGTTAGGGTAATATACGAATAGAAATGCAACATACACAATGTGCTCGACTGGCCACCGCTGTTCATTGTCCACTGCTTCTGTCTGATTCCTGCTAGTGTACTTGGCGAGTGTATTTACAAGTCAGGAATGAGAACATCGGCGTGTGTCCCTAGTCATCATTTGCTTTGGTTTTCGTAACAACAAATTTGGATTCACAGTAGCAAGCAAAGAAGTAATTAATAAGTTACATGAATTTCTTGAACATTAACGTGTCTGTGGCAAACGTGTGTTTGTAAATCCCTGTCTTCCTCTAGCGCGAGTGCGCTCCAGCTGCACTGATGGTCTTCAGCACTATGAATCCCAGCATGGTGGCCGCGGCTACGCCCAGTCCCGCCTTCCACCACAGCTTGGGATCCTCCGTCATCAAGCCAAATTGCCGCAAGTGACTGCATGTGGAGTAAAAAGATTTGGATTAGAACGATTGAAGCAGTGGAAAGATTTAAAAAGGTATTGTAAGGGTAAAACTAAAAACTAGAGGATGCTGCCGCACACCACGTTAATCAAGCGGATATGGATAGGGGATCTGTGCGCATCTCATGGAAGTAATACGGGCACCGTGGCAGATGGAACAACAACAGATAGAAGGCTGACATTAGTAACGAGTTCAGTTCGAATGGTAACACTTACGCCGACTCCCACAGCTGTACCAACCTGTGCTTGTAGAACAGTATCCAGGCGGCCTGGAAGCGCCTGCAAATCCGCGAAGCCATCGACGTGCACAAACATCAAACAACACAGAAAAACAGACACCAACCATCACACAAAAAAAGGGAAAAGAGAAGATAAGAAGATAAGTAACCATTAATCCAAAATGTGTCCAGAATGTTAGATGCAATTTAAAACTACTATAAGGGTGAAATACTTTTAAGAGTGAATTCATGGTTCAACTTCAGAAAAAGCGTTTCACTGCTTTAAGCCAGGTGTATTAGTTTACAGAACAGGCATCAAACTGTGATCCCTATTAGAGTTCAATTAGCTGCCAGCAGCTGAACTAGAACACCCGAACACGCAAATGGTTTACTCACGGAAAAGCTGCCATTGTGGCCAACTTGGTATACAGTTCTTTCTTGTTGGTCTTAAGGCTGAAGAGATGTGGGGGCAGCAGCTTGTACTTTTCGCAAAACTCCGCTGGCTGCATTAAGTAGTCCTGCCGGCGCTCATCCATGTCGCATTTAGTGCCCACTATCATCACTGGAATCTTGCTCTCCGCATAATACTTGATGTAGATACGGGCCACGTACTCAAAGGAGCGGGGATTGGAGGAGTCAAAGACCAGGCAGGCAACATCGCAATTGACTTCCTGCGGCTGGAGGGGGTCGAGGGCGTGCCTCACATCTATGTCTCGAAGAATGAGGTGCTTCTCCTGGCCATATACCTGCACAGAGTTGATGCAGTGCACCACATTCGTTTTGAACTCCTTGCCGATTAGCTTGTGCATGTCCTCCACCAGGAAGCCCCGGCACATTCCCGTCTTCCCGGATCCCTTGGGACCAATCACATGGCACTTGTACACGGACCTGCTGCTTTGGCGCTTGGCCAAATCGATGCGACGCTCTCGGGTAACGTGTATTGCCGCCAACTGACTGTCGTTCTCATGAACATTGAAGCCTAGGTAGGCCAGATATTCCATGGTTTTCACTACATCGATCAGTGTCATAAGTGTCCAGCGGCAGAGCCACCCGTGCAAGGTCACCCAGCCAGTAGTTTCGTTAATTGGGCAGGACTTGCGAATATCCGTGGAGTATGACCACGGTGCGGCGGGGCAGGTGCTAAACAGCATTTTGTGCTCCTCGGGCGACAAGGCTCCATCGCCATCGCGATCATAGCGCTCGAAGACGGCGATGAGGAACTGCTGACCCCGGTGCGAGAGTTCTGTGCTGCTGCCAGGCGGTATTTTCAGTGGGGGCCTCAGATACTCCTGGCACATCTCCAACTGGTCGTTGTAGCCAAATCGCCGCAGCACCGCCCAGGTGGTTTCGTTCCTCCCCCTCTGGATGAACAGGCAGTGCAGGAAGAGGAAGCCCTTCAGGGTGACCGCATCGTTGTAGATACCATCGGGCACGTTCTTTTGTATCACGGCCTTGACCTCGTCAAGGATCTGGGGCTGCAGGGGCGTGTTGAAGCAGCGCCGCTGGAACAGATTCAGCTCGTAGTCGTTCAGCAGATTGTCCCCGTCAATGTCACAGATCTTGAAGATGCGCACCAGCGATTTCTTGCAGGCAGATGTGAGCTGAAAAGAGACTTTATTATTCGCCACGAAGTTTAAAACCTTTAAAGGGGACCAGTTTAATTTTAGATCTATTATCGCTTGACCGTATAGCTCATAAACGTTCAAAGATTAAATTCTAAACTATGAACCACCCTGGAGACGGGAGCACTTACCTCTTGCTCTTCCATCATATACAGTGGTGAAGTGGGGTGCAGCACTGCCTTCTGGGCGTAGTAGAACATCTCGGAGATGTTGTGCAGCGTCTTGGCCGAGCACTCCACACAGCTCTCGATCTCAGGGTAGTCTTCCATAATGGCCAGCACGCTGTCCATGGTGGAGTAATCGATCAGGTCGATCTTGTTGCCCACTAGGACTATTGGTCTCCGCACGGGTTCGCACTGAGCATCGCCCTCCGCCTCCGCTTCGGCATCTCCTTCGCCGTCCAGCGACGGGTTGCACTTGGCCCGCACAAGCGGTAGCCAGTGGGAGGTGATCCGGTCCAGGGAGTCGTCGTCGTCCACTGCATACACAATGCACACCACGTGAGCCTTGTTGATCTCGACGGCCAGGGCCTCTTCTGTCTGCTCTACAGCGGAAAAGTCAACGATACTGGTGGGCACCTGCTCGGGCGTCACGTTCGCCGGAATGGTGATCTCCTCGGCCCGCGGAGGCACCTCCTCCGGGTACTCCTCGCTGACCAGCGACAGAATCAGCGACGTTTTGCCTACCCCGGCGTCGCCCACGAGCAGGATCCTCACATTCTTGCGTTGCGTAGCCGTGTACTGTCCCATTCCGTCTGCTCTGCAATGGGGTTGTGCCGCTGCTGGTCTCCTGGTCTCCGTATCCGCTATTGCTTGCGTTTTGGGCGAATTTTTTAGATTTTGTTATGCAAAAACGCAAAAAAAACAACCGAGAAAGAGATGGGATGGCAGTTGGTGTGCCAGATTGCGATACCGATATATCGCTCCCACAGCCCAGCTACCAGGGCTGCCACACTGGGTCACTGTAACAAAAACAGCAATGCTTTTCAAAGTTTTCACCAAAAAATGTGTTCAAATTATGCTAATCTGAACAATCTGAAAAATGCCAGACCCAGTTGTCTATCTTTATCTCATTTTGGATTGAAAACCAAATTTCGAAAACCGTCTGGCAACTATGTCAGCAGCTGGCATTGAAGCAGAGATGCCAACTTAGCAGTTTTCCGTTACAAATAATAGTTTTAAATTGCCTTTGAACAAACAAGATTTCAACTTGTTAAAAATAATTTAGCTATTACATTAGCTAAGAATAACAATTTAATTAATTTTACAGTTACATGTTAAGTTTCCACTAAAAGGCAAATACCCCAAAAGTATTAATTGAATATAAATAAAATAAATTAATTCAAAGCATTAACGAAGAGTTTAAAAAGCGGTGTACAACGGACATATTTTGGTGCTATATGTCCGTTGTACACCGCTTTTTAAACTTTGAATCTAGCTATTTTTCTGGCTATGTAACGAACACCCCAGATTTGGTAGTCGATAGTTGGGCAGCACTGGCGGGGGGCTCCAGAGCTTAGCTTCAGTTTTCAACGTCGGAGAGTTGTAAGTGCGAAGAAAAATCAGTACTCTCGGATAGCAGCAAAATGAGCACTTGCTACAACGTCGGACAATAATAGAGTGTGTCAGTGGTTTATTTGTTTTTTATGTGGCGACGACACCGACTCGTGCCACGGCCAAACATTTAAGTTTAAAGGATAACTCCCCCGTGCAACTTCTGCGGGGTTGAGGACAAGGGCAAGGAGAGCGGGGGCCGGAGTGCTGGACGCGCAGACAGCGCGGAATCGATATCGATGGTACGCACCAAAAACCAGTCGTCCTCCTCCAGCGCCAGCAGCAGCAGTACCAAGTCACCGATAAAGTCCAGCGGTGGAGCAGGATCATCGGGCGGCGTCATCAGTGGCCGCCAGTCCACACACCGCTCGTCGAGCGCATCCAACGTTGCCGCCGTTGTCGCCGGTGCCTCATCCGTCGGTGGCGGCTCCTCCTCGAATCGCCGTAGTCCGGGCAGTTCACCGGACGGCGACGACGACACCACCACCACAGATGACCTGACCCCCACCTCGTGCACCCCGCGTAGCGGCCACCATCATCAGTACGGCTACTCCTCCTCCGTGCACAAGCAGAACCTCTACGTCGTCTCTTTCCCCATCATATTTCTCTTTAACGTTCTGCGCTCGCTGATTTATCAGCTGTTCTGTATTTTTCGCTACTTGTACGGGGCGAGCACAAAGGTGATTTACCGCCCGCACCGCCGCGACTGCAACATAGAGATTGTAGTGCAGAATTCCTCCAAGGACCAGCAGCAGCAGTTAAACCATCCTCTCGAGCTGAATAACGAGGGTGCTGGCCAGGAGCAGCAGTTGTCAAATCAGCCGCAGCGTTACAGGGCAATTCAACCTTTGGAAATGGCCGCCAATCGTCCGGGAGGCGGGTACTCACCTGGTCCCGGTGATCCCCTGCTGGCTAAACAGAAGCATCACCATCGCCGCGCCTTCGAGTACATTTCCAAGGCGCTCAAGATTGACGAGGAGAACGAAGGTGAGTGACGGTGACGGGGGTGGCAGATCCAGTTCGAGTTCGAGTACTCGATGCTCAATGAGTCATCGCCCGCTGGCCGCTTTTGTTGTCTGTCGAATGTGAGAATCAATAAGCCAAAACGCGCGCACAAAAGATGCCCCACATGTCAGGCGAAGGAGTAATAGGGGAAGGTGGCCTGTCCTGATGGGCTTTTATTGACTGGCAGTCCTTCAATCCCATGCTTTTTCATACTAAGTTTTCACAAGCGCACAAGAGTATTTTCAAAATACAGTATTCGTTCAAGAACTATCTAATAGAGAAACCAAAGCTATTCTGGCCACTTAAAATTTATATTCTTGACAGGATTTAAGTTGTATTATAACCGTAAGAGCAGCAGAATCTATTAAAATATAATATTTTTTTTAATTACCGTAATTAGAATAAATAAACATGGCTCTTCTGGTGTAAAAGATTTAAAGGATGCAATTTATGAATACCTAGATCTATGAAAGAATAAATAAGCGAATCAATTTGTACCTACTACATATTTGTAGTATTTAAAAGTCTTGAAACGTTCAACAATTAACAGCTTAGGTTAGGATAAAGGATATTCCAATTTAGAATTTCCAAAGTCAAATTCTACTCAACCATTCACTCGACATATTTTTTTCAGGTCACAAAGAGCTGGCAATCGAGCTCTACCGTAAGGGTATCAAAGAGCTGGAGGATGGCATCGCTGTCGACTGCTGGAGTGGCCGTGGAGATGTGTGGGATCGGGCTCAGCGGCTGCATGACAAGATGCAGACAAACCTCTCGATGGCCCGGGACCGTCTCCACTTTCTGGGTGAGTGACTGCCCAAATTTTCTCTACCCCGGAAACATAGTTTTTGTTTACCTCATTTTTTGTTTATTTCATTTTGCACGTTTACCCTGCTTTTTTGTTGCCCACCTTGGTTTTGTCCATATTGTCGTGTTCATCCAACGCGCAGCGCTGCGTGAGGAGGACTTGCAAATGCAGCGGCTCTCCTTGAAGGAGAAGCAGAAGGAGCAGGCTCAAAGCAAGCCCCAGAAGTCCAGAGAGCCCATGCTGGCTGGCATGACCAGCGAGCCCATGAAGCTTAAAGTGCGCAGCAGTGGCTACGGGCCCAAGGCCACCACCAGTGCCCAGTCCACCGGTAAGTTCCTCACCAGCTCACCAGCACCCAACAAGATCCTCACCCGGCAGCGCAACAGCGACCAAAAGCAGATCGATCAATCAATCCCTATCACCACTCATTTGGCACTTTATTTTATTACCATTTTTATATGGCTTACCCAAATTGTAGCTTGGAAATAGTATCATTTTTTGGCTTATTCTTCTCTGATCGGGCTTATTTTGTTTCTTTCACAGCATCTGGCCGCAAGCTAACCATTGGAACCAAGCGGCCCGGCAATTTGGCCGTGACCAACAAGTCACAAACGCTGCCGCGCAACCTTGGCTCCAAAACATCCGTGGGCGCAGTCCAAAGGCAGCCAGCCAAGACGGCTGCCACGCCTCCCGCCGTTCGGCGTCAGTTCGTGAGTATATGGATATGTAAACAAATATATCTGCCTTTTTTTTTTGAGAATATACAACGCAGGCAAATATATAAAAAATGGATTCAGCTTACACAAATTTGATCATTGCGTACAATAAAATGTTTGTTTGTTAGTTTACAGTTTACAAAGACTTGCAGCTAAGGCAGGTCTTTTAATCAATTCCCAGGGTACTTATATCTCTGTTTATGGCAAGCTATATGTTTATAACTGTACACAATCCGCTATAGTGAAATTACTTTATCAGTATCATAATTAAGTTCAAGAAGCCAAAGTCAACACCATTTTAACACGCTACATTTCGTATTAAATTTGGATTTAAACCTAACAGCTATACTCTGACCATTTTTAAAACATGTTCTCCTTCCGGCTGCAGTCATCGGGTCGCAATACGCCGCCTCAGCGCTCGCGAACTCCCATTAACAACAACGGACCCAGTGGCAGTGGCGCCAGCACTCCAGTGGTGAGTGTGAAAGGCGTGGAGCAGAAGCTTGTGCAGCTGATACTCGACGAGATCGTCGAGGGCGGAGCTAAAGTGGAGTGGACGGACATCGCCGGCCAGGACGTGGCTAAGCAGGCTCTTCAGGAGATGGTCATACTGCCATCCGTCCGACCGGAGCTATTTACGGGTATGTTTGCTACTACGGAGTTACTTTAAGTGTGACTAAAGCCATTCCTCTATCTTGTTTAGGTCTTCGTGCCCCGGCCAAGGGATTGCTGCTGTTCGGTCCGCCCGGAAACGGTAAGACACTCCTGGCCCGTGCCGTGGCCACCGAGTGCAGTGCCACCTTCCTGAACATTTCCGCTGCCTCGTTAACCAGCAAGTATGTGGGCGATGGCGAGAAACTGGTGAGAGCTCTTTTCGCAGTAGCACGACACATGCAGCCCTCAATTATTTTCATTGATGAGGTGGACTCGCTGCTCTCGGAGCGCAGCAGCAGCGAACATGAGGCATCGCGCCGCCTGAAGACCGAGTTTCTGGTGGAGTTTGATGGGCTGCCTGGTAATCCAGACGGCGATAGAATTGTGGTGCTGGCCGCCACCAATCGGCCGCAGGAATTGGACGAGGCTGCACTCCGACGGTTCACGAAGCGCGTTTACGTCTCACTGCCAGACGAGCAGACTCGCGAGCTGCTCCTCAATAGGCTGCTTCAGAAGCAAGGCAGTCCTTTGGATACGGAGGCGTTGCGTCGCCTGGCCAAAATTACCGACGGCTACTCGGGCTCTGACTTGACGGCCCTGGCCAAGGACGCGGCTCTGGAGCCCATCAGAGAGCTGAACGTGGAGCAGGTGAAGTGTCTGGACATCAGTGCGATGCGTGCAATCACGGAGCAGGACTTCCACAGCTCCCTGAAGCGCATTCGACGTTCGGTGGCGCCGCAGAGCCTCAACTCTTACGAGAAGTGGTCACAAGACTACGGCGACATCACCATCTAGTCTGTCCTTGCTAGCGAACCTGCCCGCCTCCATCACACCTGAGTGGAGTAGCTGTGATGTGAGTGTCAGAATGTAACTTTTTGCCGTTTCACTAGTTTTGATCATGTGACTCATGGTTCTTCGCTTTTAAGTACGGTTCCATTCAATCTGTAGAATTATAGTTTCACAAACATTGTTAGACTTATAACCAGTGAATAATTCAATATGATTTGTTTTCATACTAATTCTGTGTATTTCAGCTTAAGGTTATTGTATTTTTTTTCGTCGTTTTACCGACATGTCCATGTGGTGCGAAATCTGTCATGCAGCTCCATTATCGTTATACTCATTTAACCTAGTGTATTTCTAAGAATATCTATACTATCCAATGGAGTTGCTAGAACAATAGTTAAGCCCTGTTTTCGTTTCCGATGTTTATTCAAGGGCACTTTGCTTTCTAAACTAGGTTAAGTTTTTGGAACATTCCATGTAGTGGCGTTTTTTTCGATGGACAGACTGCCCAAGAAGTTCACAACTACTTCCATTGAATCCTTAAACCAATAGAGCATATTTTTGTTGTACATTGAGTGCCCATCCACAAGTTACATGTAATCTAGAAGTAAGTGTAGTTTTAAGACCGATGAGATATAAACTATACACACCCACAAAGATAAATTTACCGGCGCCGATTCGGATTTAAGTTTTAATAGTTATCACTATCCGTATAGTTAGTCTAGTTTAGTTCCTTTGTTTCAATCTATGTACCTACGGCCATAAATACAATCGTCTCCGAGTCACCTATATTATTAGTAACGCTCCCAAAATGTTGTACCTAGCAGTTGCGTATGGATCTGGTGTTATCAGATCGATCAGATATATCTACCACCCGCACACACGCATGTCGCTTATCGCGGTTCTTTGATCCAGCTTCTACGCAGCTCGCCCACCCGGAATTTGAGTTCGATGACTAATTACTAAACACAGATCAAAAAACTACATGCATATAAATATATATATATATATAAATAAATCTATAGATTACGCTAAATAAAATCGATTTCAACAAACATTAATTGCATCCTTATCAGCTATAGTTAATGGTAAAAGAAAGTATTGTATTGGTTAAGCTTGAGCATTTGTCTTTAAAACTTTAACTCGAAATAAGTAGCTGAAATAACTTGATACATTCAAAATATTTGAAAGTCCCTTTAAAATCATTTTGTATTTTAAAGCAATCCATCCAATCGCATATTTGGCACTGCTTTAAGGATTACTTAAATTAAAACTTTATACTTTTGCCGAAAATACTATTATGTTTGTAACATTTTTTAATCCATACAGGAGCTAAATTCGTCTCTGTAAAGTGTATGCAACATGCACTTGTTTGTATATTGAAAAACTTTATCTTGTAGCTCCTATCGAAACGATTCTATTTTCGTCAAAAAGTTTATACATTACATTTTGCGAAACTGTCTTATCAGCTATTTAATCCATTCGGACACCAGCGCCACTTGTGTTGACAACCAGGATACGTTGCCAAGATTAAGAGTGTCAATGTCAAGAATAACGTGAGGGCATCGTTAAAAGTGAAGGAACGGACGCCTCCTCTTCCTTCAACCTAGACGCCAAAAGGAAGCCCCATTATGAACCAAATGAATGCCAAATAATTATTTAAATTTAAAGATTTTTAAACTGGCATTTTTTAAAAAATTTTCCAAATTCCTTAATTTTTAACAAAATCGGACGACTGTTAACAGCATTTATAAGCTAATTTTGAGTACTATACTTCTTTACAAGTGCAAGTTCTTTAGCTCTAGTAATTTTCAAACACTATTTGTCCTTATTAAAAACACCATTCGTTCGTTTTCTCACTTGTTTTATATATTTTTTTGTTTCTTTATTTTACATTTTACATGTTTATATCGCATTTCGTTTTCCACATTGGAAATATACAATATGTATGCTCGAATTTACATTCTCTTAGTGGCTAAATTTGTTTTTCCTCTTTTTTTTTGCATTCGGCTTGCTTGTGGCTATCCTTTCATCCTACTGACGCCTCAGTTTTCGTCTTCAGTTTTCGTTGACACATGTTCCACATAATTACAATTACAATTTGCTGTCACGTTTTTTGTTTCGATTGTGTTTTTTTTTATATTCTTCTCTGTTGTCGCGCGTAATTTGCCTTTTTTCTGTTCTGTTTGTTTTTGTTGAATTTCTCATTCGGTTTATTTTGTTTCCGTTTCGTTTATACGCCTATATCTGCTTAAATTACAAATCATTAAATTATTTTAACACGTACTTAGATTGGATTAGATTGTTACAGCTACCCGCCCATCGCCCAGAGCTTTTCAGTTGATGTCGTTTCAGGTGTCGCCGGCGTGGTTTACTTTAAGTTGAGTTTCACGCACCGCCTCGACCTTCGACTTGGGAGGAGGGTTAAAAAAAAGACCCTCCTAACCATCGAATCCGCTTCCGCCCACCGCAATCAGCCGCAACCGTAGCCACAACTCCAACTGGATACTCGTGCTCCTCTCTAATCTCCCGCTGCCTCGCCGCCGCCGATGTTGCTGCTACTGCTGACCGGCAGGGCCAGGAGCGGTTCCGACTTGGCTGGGACTACTCGGTATTGTACGTAACCTAAACGTGCGTAATGCGCTTGCAGCTGCTGCAGATGCGTCAGCTGGGGCAGCAGTGGTGGTTGTGGCTGCGGCTGGGGGCGACTGCCCGGATGCTGCAGACGGCGTCGAAGCTGGCGTCACATCTCAGCTCATTGGGTCTGGTATTGTGGCATTGCAGCACTGTACATCATCTGGGGGGCAAGTGAACCGTTCGCTGCTGCGGCCGCGGAGGCTGCGGCCGTTACGCCGGGCACCACAGTTCCGGGCACACCCCATGCCACATTCGGCGGCACCATGCGGTAACCGGCAGCTGAAAGTAGTACATTTATTCATTAAATATAGCTCAATAGATTGCTGGACCAAGAAAGGGGTACATACGGACACCTCCCGCTTGCTGAGCACTGGTGGTGTAGGCGTAGGGGTAGTAGCCCTGCTGCATGTACTGCGTCTGCATCTGGGTTGTGGGATAAGCCTGAAAAAATATATATAGAAGTTAGCGACACGTTTTAAAAACAGTTAGATATTTAAAAAAATTCATAGATTCTTTAATGTCATACAAATTATTCAGTTTAATTTTGATTAGAAGGCGCCATAGAAAATCAAGGAGTAATTGGCTAAAACATATCTCACCGCTGGAGGGTACCAGTAGCCCATCTGCTGGTAGGCGTACGGATACTGCGCTGCTGTGGCGGCTGCAATCTGCTGGGGTGTCATCATTTGGCCGGGTATCGCCGCTCCGGTAGCGGCGGCAATCTGTTGCTGCGTCATCATTTGGCCTGGCATTCCCGCTCCAGCGGCAACCGCCGCATTTGCCGCTGCCACGGCTGCAACATTGGCCGAGGCTGCTGCCGCAGCGGCTTGCGCATTGAGGTTATTGGCCGAGTTGTCGCCACCGTTCTCCTTGCCCCAGAAGCACTTCACCAGGTTGCCGTGAACCTCGCTATTGTGCGTGTGCTCAATGGCGCGGGCTGCTGCCTCCTTAGTGACAAACTTGATGAACGAAAAGCCCTTGTCCTTAAAGACCCGCACGTCCTGAATGGGACCAAACTGGACAAAGTGCTTGTGCATCAGGTCGTCGCTTATGACGTTCGCCGGGAAGCCGCCGCAGTAGACGGTGGTGTTGGTGGGGCTCGACTGGTTGTACACTTCCTCGAAGGTGTGCCTTTGGCTGCCCTTTACGCCGGACCCATTTCCGCCTGGTCCGCCGCCCATGCCGCCGCCCTGGCCACCGCCCTTCGACGGCTCGCGCGGCGGGGGCAGTTTGCGCGTGGACCAGTTGGTGCGTATCGATCGCGACCCAATCCACTGGCCGTTCATCGCCTGGATGGCGTTTTCCGCCTCTGCCTTCTTAACGAACGACACAAAGGCGTAGCCCTTGGACTTCATGGTATGCGGGTCGCGCACGATCCGGCAGTTGGAGATCTCTCCAAAGGGGGCGAACGCCTCACGCAGTGTCTCCGTCTCAATCTCGGGACTGAGGTCGCCTACAAATATGTGGTGATGTGAGCTGATGTCTGTTTTGGGCTGATTGCTGGGACTGGTAGCCCAGTTAACCTGAGAATTGGGAATACAATTGGTTAATAAGTGCTTTTAAATAAGTGTCAACTTTATGAAAAATAAAATAGAACAAAAACTGAGTACTTTGAAACGTTTTATATCATTTCCAGTTGAATTGTGGCACTGTCTTCTTTAAAATTTTACTTTTTGACAAAACTAAATAAAAAAAATAAGCAACAATAAAAAATTTAAGTAAATCCGAGATATCATTTAACATTTAGCCCTGAGAAAATTTTTATCTTCGATTTAGTCAATAGAATGGGCAAATTAATATACTAACAATTAAGAGCTCTTAGTTTGCTTACCTTAATTTCCTTTTCTAGGAAGAGTCGTTTGTTCATAGCGGTCAGAGCTGTGGTGGCTGCCTGATAGTTTGAATATTCGATGAAGGCGTACGGATCGTTGCCAGGCTCCCGAATAATCTTGCAGCTTTTGACGGGACCCATGGTGCCGAAGAGGGCGATGAGCAGGTCCTCGGACACGGTGCTGTCTAGGTTGCCCACATAGAGGGTCTTGGGCTGCGACTCGTCCATGGCTGGGGGATGTCCTGCGACTTCGATCCGAATCTACACTAGACTACTGCGACAATCTAAACTCGGACCGGAATTGCAACTGCAACTGGCCGCATTAATCGGAAGGAGCAGTATCAAAAATTTCAGATCTTTCTAGCTACGTACAAAATCTAAGTATCTGCTAATTAAACAGGTGTCTTTGCGGTGATCTAAAAGGTGCTAGCTGATAACAGAGAACTCGGCTAAAAAATTTGAATACTTTGATATTCTAATAGGTTTTAACTCACTCTCGAATTGGCTGGGCTGGATTTGTATTTGCTTCCGTTATATAAACTATATATGCTGGTATCTAGGTTGGTAGATCTTTATGCCTAACGTTGAGGTTCTTCGTTTATTGCTTTTCTTCGTTCCTAACCTGCCGCCTAACTGAAAATTACGTTAAACATCTATATGTATATGTATAAATATATCTGTCCTAACTAAACGCTAATGGAGTGTTTTGGAATATAAGATTTGTCGCAATATGAATATGATCGGGCAACTTCGCTTCCTGGGGTCCTGGGATTCGATGTTCCTTAGGGATAGTACGTTACTTGGTACTGTTGAATCGCTCGATCCTTCGATTATCTTGGGGGTTTGTTTTTTAAATAGTCCGGTCCAATATACAGGATTGTATAAATGTATATATGAATACTTGGTTGCGGCTGCTTGTTCTTCTACAAAAGTTAGTTGGCTATGTTGAACGGTGTGAAAGTTCGCAGGTTAAGTGTTGTATTTGGGTTTCGAAGCTGACCCCTGGAATCGCTGCTGCTGCAAAAGAGAGAATTTGGGTTAGTTGAGGGCTGATAACCGGACTGGGACAAGGTCTAACAGCACATGATCGGTGGGGCTTTAGCTAGGCAAATGATATGTATGGATATAAATCGGCTACCCCGCCCCACCCTTTTCGCATGAGGGGAACAAAGAAGGCGGCAAAGCAGTGCAGGGACACGCACACACAGACGCACACGGAAAGAGAGCTAGAGAGAGAGGGTGGGAGAGGGAAAGAGACTGCCTGCTCTTATAACAAAGCGAATGGCCAACAATTGACAATAGCCATTCATTCGCAACGAATTTGCGGGCCTAGCAAAATAATTTAGTTTATAATTATTAAATTTATGTACCCTGTATTGCACTTTACCCGAATTCTTTTCGGGCCACTCACGCACAAACACACACACTGCAAATCTACGTCGAAAAAAGGGTGAAAGGAAAAACGAAAATCGACTAGAAGATGAATGACCGTCGATAACAAAATGAGGAGAAAGAAAACAGGGAGAAAGAAGAGAAGAGAAGGGAAATTTGCGAAACCGGCGGGCGCACACACGTTTGCATTAGATATTTGTTTTTTTTTTCTTTGGCGAAATACAATTTTAATTTGCATAGCACTAAACTTGATTTTGAATATTTCTGCGGCGGCGGCGCTAGAAAATGTCAGTCAAAGTCACATAAAAGATGATACGGCGAAAAGGGAATGGCGGGGTGGTTTTTGTTGCTCATTTGCTGCTTATTTTCTTCTCTTTTCGCACACACACGCGCAGAGAGGCGTCTTGCGCTGGTCTTTTTGTTTGCGTTTTGCTCACATGAGTCGCCACTTTTCTTTTTTTCGGTTTTGGTTATTGAGTGTATTTAAACTAATGCCAATATACCAATACCAATGCCCTTTTGAATGCGGGACTTTTCATTAGCCTTTCAGCTTGCCGCTATATGTACATATGTATGTATATACATATCTAGTTCGCTTTTGTGCTGCCATCTTTTAATGCCGCTCCCCCCGCCTACCACGGCTGCCACGCCCCCGCCCCGATGCCGAAAACAAGGTTTAACCTTTATCGCCGCGCGATAGTGCAATAATTTATAATGCCCATTGTTCAGACTCGGATTTTGCTGCCAAAATCCGCACTCTCTTGTGTTAATGCGCTTTCTGTGACGTGGCTGCGGTTGTAAATTTACCGCATTTTACTTGCTCAGTACTCGATTCGCACACTTCACTCAACGATTAAGTTTAGCCGCTAACGGTTTATATTATATTTGCACAACTTTCGTTGTTTTTTGAGGATACAAATGTACGTTTAACGCGTCGCTAAAATTTTACCTTCGTCGTCTAAAATGCGAACTAATTAATGAGATTTTTGTGTGCGAGAGCCAGGGCTGCCAACTCGTTGAAAAGCAAAAACGCAATGGCGGCAATCTGGGAAATGTAATGAAAAATGAGGAATTACGCCTGCTTGCTTTGAAATAATTTCACCTTGGGTTATCACTCGGTGCTTCAATAGGATATTATACAAGATCAATTCTTAACTTGCTATTTTAATTAATTTTACGAAAAATATTCGAAAAGGGGGCAACCCTAGGGCCATCGATAACGCTTGCATCACCGCCTTCTCTTTCTAACACGCGCGCCGCGGAAGCAGATGTATAACAAAGAGGAATAGCAATAACAATCGTTATCGAAAAGGGAAAACGTCGAAATGGACATTAATATTTTTATAAACAACCAAATTTTAATTAATTGTGCGAGTCCCGTTAATTATGTTGAGCTATGCAGCCAGATTGAGAAGAACACAGTAAGTGTAATATTGACCTGCTGAATTTCATAAGTTTGTCTAATAAAGTTAAAAATGTTCAGAACTTGCAACCTAAAGACTATTATTTGGTAAGAAATGGCAAACGTTTGTCTGGAGAACTCCTTCATGGTGATGTCCACTGCGTCCTGCGCCAGCTGGGCGGCAAGGGAGGATTCGGATCCATGTTGCGAGCCATTGGCGCCCAAATCGAAAAGACCACCAATCGCGAAGCTTGTCGGGATCTGAGTGGCCGCCGACTGAGGGACATCAATGAGGAAAAGCGAGTGCGCGCCTGGCTGGACAAACAGGGCGAGCGGGAACGGGAGGCGGAGGAGCGGAAGAAGCGCAAAATCGAGAAGCTGCTGGCTGTGCCAAAACACGACTTTAAGGACGAGAAGTACGAGGAGGCCAGGGCCAATCTCACCGAGAAGGTGAATGACGCTTTTGAGGAAGGACTTAAGCAGGCAGAAGGTATCAAAGAGAAGGAGACGCAGGCCCAGGAAGCATCCACCAGTGGCACAAAGAGGAAATCACCAGTTGAAGACAAAACCAAGGCCAAAAAGAAGAAAAAGGGCACCCTCTGGATAGGCGATGACATTTCAGGATCCGACTCGGAGGACAGCGAGGAGGAACTTGAGGCGCAGAAAAAGGCCATTAAAAACTAGATAAAAAGGTTTACAATTAAGTAGGAAGGACTATTTGTACCACTTCATATGTAAATGCCGCTAAATAATAAATTTACAAGTCTAACGCATGTGAAAATATCGAAACAAAAATAATAGAAATAAGCAGACCCAATAGTTATTTGAATATACCGAATAAACTGACTCGACATATAAAACGTTGAAAGATCTTGATTTAATACTAAACACTAAAAGATTAATAAGTAATTGTATAAATAAACATTAGAGTTAGAAAGAGAAACATCACGGCGACACAAATTGCGAAGAAACCCAGGCTAATCCCCACTTTAAATTTGTCAGCATAAACTTTAAAGCTTTTGTCCACTGCTCCTCGGAGTTGAACTGGATCCTGCAAGGAATTAGGCATTAGTATTAGAAAAATCGAGGAAATTTTAAAAAACCCACTTAATCGAATAGGAATTTCCTGTGGAGGGGTCGATGATCTTGCCCTTCTCCATCTTGTAGGGCAGCAGGAACTCCGTGTCGCGCTTCTCCACCTCCTTCTGGAATTGGGTGAGGCAGTCAAGGAAGGCCACCATGGCAGCATCAAACTTGGTGTCCCAAAAAAATTTAAACCCGCCACTGCCGTATAGTGGCAGCTCCCGGTTCTCGCCGAGAACCTCTACGTATGAATGGTTGCCAAAGGGCACAACGCGATACCGCTCGAAGGTAAGCCCAATCTTGCGGGCCAGGGCGGAGAGCAAGAGCACGGTCTGGCCCCAGGCGGCGTTGATCTCTGACCAATCCACGGACACAGAGGGCAGCCTGCCCAGCCTAAAATTGTTGATGGTACCGAAATGCCCGGCGTGCCAGATGTGAAAGGTGATGTTAAAGATGTTCGTGTCGCGCAGTTTGTCCAGCTGCTGCCGGGAGTAGGCGATCTGGCTCTCCAGACTGCGCTTGTCATCCTCGGTTAACATCAGCTCACGTCTGTGTTTGGTGTACTCGCGCCAGTAGCTTTCCTCCTGCTCGTGAAGCTCCTCCCGCTCCACTTCCTCCTGAGCGATGGCAGCGTTAAGCGATTGTTCCTCCTGCTTGAGCTGCGCCAGATCGGTCAAAAGCTGCTGCTCGCTGCGCTTTAATTCCTCCAGCTCCTTGTCCAGGGCTTCGACATTCGGCGCCTCACGCTGCTGCTCCAGCTCGTCCAGATATGCCTTGTACACATCCCACTCATCCTCGGCGATGCGCAGCTCCCGGTCCATGATCTCCAACATGGAGTCGGCGCACTCCTCGCACAGCGGATGGTCAATCTCCGAGTTTGAGGACAGGCAGTCGAATAGCTCCGCTTTGAGCTTGAACGCAACACTCATCTTCTTGTTGTCCCGGCCGTCCGATACCAGCATAAATCCAGTGCCATTGATTGAGTCCGTGAGCCTGTAGGGCGGCACAAAGTGGTCGAAACTGCTAGCGTCCTGGGGGTCCAAGGTGTTTCCATTGTTTCCGTAAATGGGCACTGCAAAAAATGAATCATTAGAGGGTTTTACAAAACAATTAGCCGTATCATACGCGATAACTCCGCCATGGCGTGCACGCTGATCTTTTCCAGCTGCTCGTCCAGGACGATGGGCTGCAGGCAGCGTTGGCAGGCAAAGGAAACCGCCTGTTTCTCCGCCTCGCTCATTGTGGCCGCTATATGTTGTCCTTCAATTTGTGCTTACAATTAAAATTTCCACCGAGTGAGAAAAAACAAATAATTTAACAGCTGTTTTCAGCTGCTGCCAGTGTTGCCACCCCGCCAAAAAAGAGAGTCGCAAAATGGCGCAGTTAATCGGACAGAAAACTGTCAACCAACAACAAGCGTGCAATAAAAAAGAAAGAAATAACGAAAAAACCAGTTTTAAACAAAAACATTGCTCAATTGTGTCCGCGGAAGAGGCTTAAGCGTGCCGTGGAGGCGCAGGCCTTGACCACGATTCCCGCTGATAAGAGAGAAATCGAGCGGTTTCGCTTTTAGTTTGTTTTGGTGAGCAACAAGAACATTAGACGCTATGCCGTCGCCAGTGCTGCCAAACTGGCTTGACGATTAATGCCAGATCTAGCTTTTTTTAAATACGTTTTTATTAATTGGAAATTAAGGACGTCCAAATAATTTTAAGGTGTTTAAGAGTGTTGCGGGGACCCAAAAGCCTAATAGAGCAGTTTGGTATTTGATTTGGTAATTTGATTACATTTCAATGGCTATGAAAGTGCTTAACAAATTTAAAGGTTCTTGAATTTCTGCCACAAACTATTTTTAAGAAGATTAAGTTAATTGAATTATGTTTGCACTTCACAAATGTGAAATGACGCATTTAGTTGCCCTACATCTAGGCAAAGTATTTAAGGTTAAGGACATTGACTCCGCAATCTATTGCGGTACGCCAGAGCAACGATAAGCTAAGAAATTCCAAGAAAAACATAAAAAAAAACATGAGTAGAGAAACTGATAAAGGTTTGCACTCACGACAACATTATATATATTATTAGTTTTAAATATTGGAACAATTAGGCATCCCAGATTTTGGGGTCTAGAAAATAGCTTTTAAATGCTAAATTCGTCAGCTGGCAGCACTGGCAGTGGTCACACTGTAGGCTCTTCGGTTTTGACGACCCATGGCAAATTTTCAGTCTCTTGCAGGCAGCAAAGCTATACGGAAGCAACAATTGGAACGCCCAGAAATCCTCCCCCGAACATTTGAATATTGACACAAGTGCCGCCCAGACTAGAATCCCCAAACCGCATGAGAGTGTTTTTGTTTTCCATCTGTTCCTAGACCCTAGCCGGATTTTTAGATTTGCGGATTTGCGCCGCCAAGTCACTTAAAAGCCAGCCGAATTAACGCGCCAGATTAAACAAACAAAAACAGAAGCCGAGACCAGTTCCACATCGTGCCATTTTTATCTGGGCACACGTACGTGATTACGTGATTAGCGCGGAGGCGGGGGCTGCGGTTTATCAATAGCAACAGCAAGAGCAACAATGGTTTCCTATTTCGTACCTCGTGGCCGCTTCCTGCTAAAAGCCGGCAATCTGAGGCAGGTGGTGCAGCAGCAGCACCAGCCGGCCCAGATGCAGCTACAGCCCATCAAAGGACCCCAGACGCAGGCTCAGAATGGCAGCCTCCCGGTGGTGCGCCACTTCCGGCAGTTCTCCTCGAATCCCGCCTCCAAAGAGGCACCGCTCCACCACCGCCGGCCGCACCAGAAACAACAGCCCAATCCCAGCCAGGAGTTGGCCCAGCTCCGGCGTAATATCCTCTCACGCTGGACGGGCTTCCTGCTGCGCTGGGCTCCCATGGGCATTTGCGTGTTCGGCGCCATCGAGTGGCAGCTGCAGAAGCAGCGTTGCGAGCGGGATGGCCAGCCCAGGACAGCCTCCGAGTTGCAGTCGCGCATCTACTGCTCTCTGCCGCTGCGCATCCTCAGCCGCTGCTGGGGCTGGCTGGCCGCTTGCTACTTGCCTCCCAGTCTGCGTCCCTATGTCTACGGCTGGTACTCGAACACGTTCAACGTCAATCTGAGCGAGGCCCAGTATCCGGAGTACGAGCACTACAACAGTCTGGCCGAGTTCTTTACCAGGCCACTGAGAGAAGGTGTTCGCACCATCAATCGGGAAGCTCCACTGGTCTCCCCCGCCGATGGTAAGGTTCTGCACTTTGGCAGCGCCTCGGACTCGCTGATTGAGCAGGTCAAGGGTGTCAACTACAGCATCGAAGACTTCCTGGGCCCACTGCAGACTCTGGAGCAGGCAAATTCCGGCACCTCCTACGCACAGGCACTCAAGAAACAGAACGACGGCTCGACGGAGCTGTACCAGTGTGTGATATACCTGGCCCCCGGAGATTACCACCGATTCCACTCACCCGCCGCCTGGAAGCCCACCATCCGTCGTCATTTCTCCGGCGAGCTGCTGTCTGTAAGTCCGAAAGTGGCCGGTTGGCTGCCTGGTCTGTTCTGCCTCAACGAACGTGTGCTGTACATGGGACAGTGGAAGCATGGATTCTTCTCCTACACCGCCGTGGGTGCCACGAACGTGGGATCCGTCGAAATCTACATGGATGCCGAGCTGAAGACGAACCGTTGGACTGGCTTTAATGTGGGCAAGCATCCGCCCAGTACCTACGAGTATGATGAACTGGTTCTGGACAAGCAGTCCACTGAAGCGCCTAAAGAGTTTGGTAAGGGCGAACTGGTTGGTCAGTTCAACATGGGCAGCACCATTGTCCTTCTCTTCGAGGCGCCTAAAAACTTTAAATTTGACATTGTCGCCGGCCAGAAGATCCGCGTGGGAGAGTCCCTCGGCCACATCGCGGGTACAAAATGAAAGGAGGAACTCGAATCCTGTACAGAATCAGTGCAAAGTCCTGTCACCCGTCTGTTCACATCACTCGTTGTATTAGCATTAGACGCTCGTGTCCTAGGCAAATGTATTTTGTGAACATCATGCGAAGCTAACTCTGTGTATTGTTGCCATTTCAGTAGTCTTAAGCTATATTTTATACAATAAAACGTCGAAATATCTTTGAGTACAACAACGGCACGTCAATTATCTCATTCCGGCACGCGCTTCTTAAGTAGAACACCGATTGTTGAGGTGGGCTAAGCGTTATCAGGAGGCGTTTTGATAAGCCATAGCGGTCGGAACCTACAGTCGTTGAACCCCCAGTGTTTGAGGATCCAGGAAGACTACGTCTGTGACCAGCTAATCGGGATGAATAACCCTCTGGGGGACCACACTTGTGTTTTTTCCCTGATGTCAACCGGGCTATCTGCGAGCGTGAACCTGAACCTGATCCAACTCCCTTTTGCCTAGAAGAGCGCGTGCCGCTGGCGATGGCGAGATGCCTAGTCGTCTATGCCTTACCCACCCATTGTTTACTTTCGCATCGAATCCGGGATCGCAATCCATTCCGTTTAATTGATTCAATCAAGTCCGGCCGGCGGGAATCTTGTTCGTTGAACTTATCAGGCGGTGACGGGTGATTTCGTCCCAGGCCTTGACACAGACACTACACGAAGTCCGCAAGTGTTGGTTGGTTGGTTATGCGCCCTGGCAACAGATTTGATTGCGAACGAGAATCTGCGTCAGTCGGCATTAGGGTTATCAAAAGTTTATTTTCGAATTTGGCGCCATCGCAAGGGATTGTAGAGTTGCTAATTTTAACAAATAAAAGCTTCTCTTTTTATAATATTTCGGAATAAATATTAATTTCAATTTAAATTTGTTTGTTACACAAATAAATTTAATGAATTCTCGAAAATCTAATTTAAATTGTCAACCTTTTTGTTGTAGCCGAGTTTTCAAACTTCTAGAAATATATCACTCAGTAATCCTATTTAAATTGATCAAACAATGGACATCTTCCATATAACACAAACAACAAAATTAATTTCGAAGGCCGCGCCAATCGGAATTCACCCATCAGGTAAGTTCACCTCTGGTATGGTGAATTCGTGTTAACAGCTGAGAGCCGGCATTCATTTCATAATAGATTTTTGTTGTGGATATACATAAGTATTAATTAAGCAGTTTAAAATGCTAATTCGACATTGCATGATGGCCTTAAGGGCCGCCAGGTCCCCGAATCTAGTGAATACTACCAGGAGTCCCCATAACATGTTCCTGCAGCGTTTCTACAGCAGCCAAGCACCTGCCATTGGAATCGTGGACTACGACGTGGTCAAGAAGCTGCCCAGCGAGCCGCAGAAGCTCCTCATTGATGTCCGGGAGCCTGAAGAGCTAAAAGAGACCGGACAAATCCCCGCCAGCATCAATATTCCGCTGGGAGTGGTTAGCCAGGAACTGACCGCCAGTGATCAGCTCTTCAAGTCCAAATACGGTAGAGAGAAGCCACAGCCGGATACGGAGATTATATTCCATTGCAAGATCGGCAAGAGAAGCCTTAAGGCCGCAGAAGCCGCCACCGCCCTGGGCTTCAGAAACGTAAAGAACTACGAGGGATCCTGGCTAGATTGGGCCAAAAGGGAGGGTCTTCCCAAGTAAATAAAATACATTAAATATGTATGTCAAATTTAATCTATTTTGATATTTTTTAAGGTAATGCCACATTCTTAAACGGAAAAATTTAATTTTATTTGCAAAGATCTAAGATCTAAGTAAAGTAAACAAAGGCAGATCATACATATTTTTTTAAAAACTAGCATTTTTGAACTAAAAATATCATAGTTTTTGGCCAGGAGGATTTTTGGTTATGAGATCTACACTAGTGGAACTTCTAACTGAGTAACTTAGTCCACTTCCTCGACGGTGGGGCCTTTGTAGCCGCCCGCCTGCTGTCCACAATTTGGAGCCTGCTGATTGTCGCCAGCTCCCTGGTGCATCTTGGTCATGATGGGGCTACAGAACTGGGTCAGCTCCTTTAGCTTGTGCTCGTACTCCTCCTTCTCAGCGGTGGTGTTGCTGTCCAGCCACTTTACCGCCTCACTGCAGCGCTCCAGGACACTGCTTTTGTCCGCCGAACTGATGCGATCGCCGCCCTGTTCGGCCGCCTCCTTCACACCAAACACGTAGCTCTCCAGTTGGTTGCGGGCAGCGATCCGCTGGCGGTGTCGCTCGTCCTCCTCGGCATACTTCTCGGCCTCACTTAGCATGCGATCGATGTCCGCCTGCGAGAGACGACCCTTGTCGTTCTTGATGGTGATGTTTTTGGCGTTGCCAGTGCCCTGCTCCTTGGCGGTCACATTCAGGATACCATTAGCGTCCAGGTCGAAGGTGACGTCGATCTTGGGCACTCCTCTGGGTGCTGGCGGAATGCCAGTCAGGTTGAAGTTGCCCAACACGTTGTTGTCCTTGGTCAAAGCACGTTCTCCCTCGAACACTTGGATGGTCACCGCCGGCTGGTTGTCCGCGTAGGTGGTGAAGGTCTTAGACTGCTTGCACGGAATGCGGGTGTTGCGCTCGATCAGCTTGGTCATCACCCCGCCGGCGGTCTCAATGCCCAGCGATAGTGGGGCCACGTCCACCAGAAGGACGTCCTTGATCTGACTGCTTTCGTCGCCCGACAGAATGGCCGCCTGGATGGCAGCTCCATAGGCTACCGCCTCATCCGGATTAATGGACAAGTTCAGGCTCTTGCCGCCGAAGAAGCTCTGCAGCAAGCTCTGCACCTTGGGAATGCGTGTCGAGCCTCCGACTAAAACTATATCGTGGATCTGGCTCTTGTCCATCTTGGCGTCGTTCAGGGCCTTCTCCACAGGCTGCAGTGTGTTGCGGAAGAGGTCGCCGCACAGTTCCTCGAATCTGGCGCGACTCACCTTGGAGTAGAAGTCGTGTCCTTCGAACAGGGCGTCAATCTCCAGAGAAGCCTCTGTGCTGGAGGACAGAGTGCGCTTGGCCCGCTCAGCCGCCGTACGGAGGCGTCGAAGTGCGCGTGGGTTCGAACGCAGGTCCTTCTTGTACTTGCGCTTGAACTCCTCGGCCAGATGGTTGACCAAGCGATTGTCAAAGTCTTCGCCACCCAAATGGGTGTCTCCTGCCGTTGAGCGCACTTCGAACAGAGAACCCTCGTCGATGGTCAGGATAGAGACGTCAAAGGTTCCGCCGCCCAGGTCAAAGATAAGCACGTTGCGCTCCCCCTTGAGATTCTTGTCCAGACCATATGCCAGTGCAGCGGCTGTGGGCTCGTTAATGATGCGGAGCACATTCAGACCTGCAATGGCGCCGGCGTCCTTGGTGGCCTGGCGCTGGGAGTCGTTGAAATAGGCCGGAACTGTGATGACGGCGTCCCGCACGGGATTGCCCAAATAGGCTTCGGCCGTCTCCTTCATCTTTGTGAGCACCATCGAGCTGATCTCTTCTGGGGCGAAGCGCTTCTCCTCGCCCTTGAACTCCACACTCATCTTGGGCTTGCCGTTGTCGTTGGTCACGCGGAAGGGCCAGTGCTTCATGTCCTCCTGGATTTTGGGGTCGTCGAAGCGACGTCCAATCAGCCGCTTGGCGTCGAACACCGAGTTCCTTGGGTTCATGGCCACCTGGTTCTTGGCGGCATCTCCGATCAGACGCTCCGAGTCCGTGAAAGCCACGTACGATGGTGTGGTACGGTTGCCCTGGTCGTTGGCTATGATCTCCACCTTGCCGTGCTGGAAGACGCCCACGCAGGAGTACGTGGTGCCCAGGTCGATTCCAATGGCTGGCATCTCTGCTGTATTCTTGCTTTTAAATTTAAATTATTTAAACTTTTTACAAGGTTTTCTATTCCCTGCTAATATAAATTTTAGTTTTTATCTGCCACTTTGGACTGATTCCTTTATATATTTTTTCTCTTGCTTGGAGTGCTTACACTTTGGCTGCTTGATTTCAAATGTGGCAGTTGCTAAATTTGTCTCGCTATTTATACCCAGCCGCAGAGAGCGGAAAACTCGAGATTTCCCTGCTAGAAGAGAGCAGAATACTCGAGACCTTTCGCGTGAGAGCGAGCGAAAGTTATAAGGAGTAGAAAGTTCAGGAACAATCGAGGGATATCATTTGCAGTGTCCTAGGTCAGCATTTTATTCAGCCATTTAAATAATATTAGTCTGCAATCTATTTTAGGCACGTTTTCTTATTGATTCCTTAAACAATTCATATTTTTAGATTCTGTTTATTTATGTTATTGACGTCTATATAAACATGTATGAGTATATTGGATTTTGTTGTCTATATTGCCGGTTTCTATGGAATTTTCTTGCTTTAAGCTATAGACATGCAACAATTCAACTCGATTTTTTTACAGAACGGTATAGCTGCCGTCTTTTGTCTATTGTTTTAAGCTTAAAACTTGAAAACATTTTCTTTGTTAAAAATGGTCTATATGTGGATGCCTCATTAAGTTTATAGTATTCAAAAGTTGCTTCCAAATTATTTTTGATTGCTATTTCCTAATATTAATACTAATATTTTAACCGCAACAATACATACTTAAAAATATTTGCCAAATAGTTTGCATTTTATTATAATGACGTCTATATGGCATACCGTAACAATTGGTAAAATAAAGCAAAAATTTTTGGTTTTTAGGATCATAAATATTTTTTACTTAAACATAAATTAATAAGTTAAATTTGTTTGAATAATTGTAAACAAAAGCAGCGATAATTTCCCTACAGGATGTAATCGATGCTTCCTATCGAATATGGCATCTTATCGATATATTCACTTTCACACCCTACCATCTCTAGCGTTGCTTTCTAGCGAAAAAAATAATTTCATTTCGCGCTCTTATTGTTATTTTTCGTGGGTTTTTGGCAACCGAAAGAGCGAATGGCCGACGAGGACGATGAGGTGTCGCACAGGATAGCGGCGCCAATCCGCAAGCCGGACGACGAGACGGCGTTTCTGGAGTACATTGAAATGGAGAACTTCAAGTCCTACCGCGGCCACATAGTTGTGGGTCCTCTGAAGCAATTCAATGCGGTCATAGGGCCCAACGGATCCGGAAAGTCCAACTTCATGGATGCCATCAGCTTCGTGATGGGAGAGAAGACCAGCAGTTTGCGTGTAAAGCGTCTAAACGACCTAATCCACGGCTCCTCCATTGGCAAGCCCATTTCCCGCAGCTGCTATGTGACGGCCAAGTTCGTGCTCAACCAGGATCGGCATATGGACTTCCAGCGCGCCGTGATCAGCGGATCCTCGGAGTTTCGCATTAACGGAGAGGTTCGTATCATGATAATAGTGCCTTTACAACCAAACCTAATTGAATGCCCATTTTAGAGCGTTTCGAGCAGCACCTATTTGAACAAGCTGGAGAAGATTGGCATCAATGTAAAAGCCAAGAACTTTCTGGTTTTCCAAGGAGCTGTGGAGAACATAGCTATGAAGACGCCCAAGGAACGCACGGCTTTGTTTGAGGAAATCAGCGGGTAACTTTTAACACGATTTCTTAGAAATCTGGATTTTCAAACTTTGTTTACATTGTCAGATCTGGCCTGCTTAAAGATGACTACAATCGCCTCAAGCAGGAAATGATAGTGGCCGAGGAGGAGACGCAGTACACCTACCAAAAGAAAAAGGGCATTGCGGCGGAACGAAAGGAGGCCAAGCACGAAAAAATGGAAGCCGATCGGTACACTCGGTTGCAAAACGAATACGTATGCCTAGCTACCATCTTAATCATATATAGTTTGTAACCACATATAATTCCCACAGAACGAGAAACAAGTGGAGTATCAACTGTTTAGACTCTTCCACGTGGAGAGGGACATTCGAAAGTATACTGGCGATTTGGAGGTGCGGCAGCAGGAGGTGAAGGCAGTGGAGACCCGTAAAGAAGCCGCCGATGAAATCCTGCGCGAGAAAAAGAAGGACGCCGGTAAGATAACTCGAGACCTCGCCAAAATCGATCAAGAGATACGTGAGTTTGAGACCCAGATGAACAAACGAAGGCCGCTTTACATCAAAGCCAAGGAGAAGGTTACCCACTGCAAGAAGAAGCTCGCTTCTCTGCAAAAGACTCTGGAGACGGCCCGCGAGGCAGACAATGCCCACCAGTCCGACATCCGGAAGCTCGAGAAGCAGCTGGCCGATGTGGAGGCCCTCAAAAAGCGGTTCGAGGACGAGATCGAGAATGAATCTCAGCGCCGGGGCAAGAGCGTCAACATGGAGGAGGGTCTCGTGCAGGAATACGATCGCCTTAAGCAGGAAGCGGAGGCCACAGCCACCCAGTACCGTTCCGAGCTGGACTCAGTTAACCGGGAGCAGAAGTCCGAACAGGACACGCTCGATGGTGAGACCAATCGCCGCGCCTCTGTGGAGGAGTCCTTCAAGAAACTCACTCTGCAGCGCGAGGAAGCTGTAAAGCGTCGGGACAAACTGATGGACCACATTAAATCCTCGCAGGCGGCACTAGAGGAGCAGAATCGCATCAAGGATGAGCTTCGGCGAGATGTTGGTAGCTCCAAGGAAAAGATTGCCGAGAAGCAACGCGAGCTGGAGAACGTTCGCGACCAACTTGGCGATGCCAAGAGCGACAAGCACGAGGATGCGCGGCGGAAAAAGAAGCAAGAGGTGGTTGAGCTGTTTAAAAAGCAGGTTCCAGGAGTGTACGACCGCATGATCAATATGTGTCAGCCCACGCACAAGCGCTACAACGTTGCCGTCACCAAAGTGCTGGGCAAGTTCATGGAAGCCATCATCGTGGACAC